CTTCGCACGGTCCCGTATCCCCCTGAACGCTTGTCTTGATTGCGGGAAAAAACTATTCTTGGACGATCGACATGATAATTTGCTAGCTGTTCGTAGGCTGCTTCCTGTAAACAAGCACGGCCTGTAGTGATTTAAACGTGCGTATCGCGTGTTTCTTTGGACACACCACAGCCTCCCTCTTCAGTGCGTGCCTTTTGTCCGTATCATCCAAGGCAATACTGAGTTGAGACATGAGACCTCTATTCGTGTAACGGCGACGATTGATTGAGGTTGTGCGGATTGACCTGGGTGGTGGAAGGGGCGGGGATGCAGTTCGTGTGACCGGTTTCCCATGCTCGATCCCGAATTGGTCACATTGACAACGGTAGACCCTAAACGGGAAACCAAGCTTTGGATATCAGTCAATGATCTTGCTTAGACGGCGCCTTGTTCTAGAAACCCAATTCGATAAGCACTGTCAATGTGTCCTCCAGCACATGGGTAGATTTTGGATCAACGAGCCCTGTACGATCCGAAGGCCGAGAAATGCCGGTTTCGGAGAGAATGAGAGTGGGATCTGTTTTTTTTCTTTCTTGCGAGGACTTACCAGGTGGCAAGCGGTCCCCGTTCGAAACCTGAACGAGCGGATCGCGGAACCAAACGCTTGGGAGATGGTCCCGACCAGGCGATCAATAAGTCCTCATTCTTCTCTGTCACTCAAACGCATCGCAGAAGGAAGATTTGCGATTACCGGAGATGCGAGTCGGATCCCGGTCCAGGGAGTGAAACAATGCATGCGCACCTCACCGCCCCTCCGGAGTTGCCATTGCGTCTGTTCGGGGGGCTAGACCCTTGGCTGGATTTTCCACCAAGGATATATGGACGAGATCTCATATCTTTTTCTTTCTTTAAAAAATAACCGCCCACTAGTGTTTGATATCGCGCAGGCATCTGGTTCACAGGTGCGAAGCTACTCCCTGCACAAGGTTGGTCCCTTTCGATAAATTTTGCCGTCAAAGTACCTTGAGATAAAGGAAGACTTGGATAATTTCAACTTTTAGCATCGATCCGGGAGCGGATGACGATGCCGAAACCCACGAAAGGGGGTTGACGTCATGGAGGCTGCATGTGGAGACGGCGAATTATGTACAACCATCCAGAAAGAGACCATTCACTTCCCTCTTTAGGTTAAAATGAGCCAGTCGCCCGTTTACACCAAAATAGCCTCGGGTCGCTTTGTCGGTGCATGCACTCAAGGCTGGTCGCAATGGTAACGCTGAAACCAGGTTTTCGCTGCAAGCTCCGACTTCGCAGCATTGAATCCCTTTTGATTTCTTGTAGATCTAGCTCCTATGCATAGGCTTGAGCTGTGAAGGCAAGGATTCGAGGGGCTCTGATGCAACGCAAAAGGGACCCACCATCCTGGGCGTCCACGATTTCCCTCACTTACACAACTCGCAGTGACAGGAAAATCCCAAGGGGTTTAGGTTGGGTTCCACCAAGAACATCCTTAGCCTCTAGGCGCCGCATAATCTAAGACGAGCGAACCAACTAACCCGAACGAGCGATTCGAGAATTCGCAGTCGCTTGCCGGCGTTCCTTTCCACCATCAGTAAATATCACCTAAAGGTTTTACCGGTCACATTTCGCATTAATAACGATATTATACTTCGAATATTTGAGCCCTTTCACCCCTCCAATCAGCAATGATATAAGCTGGCTTGGCGGCGACCAGTGAAAATAATAAACCCCCCGTTTCAACGGATCTCCTCTGCTCGTCCCACACTATCGCTCTTATATCCTTACTCGCTCTGAGCCACCATTTCTCCGCCCGCCCATGCCACAGCTCCATAGAATGGGGGATACAGTTGCGCGCGTCCCCAAAATCGACAGCCCACCAGGCGCTCCCTCCATTGACGAACCGTCACTAGCAGACCCAGCCAAACCCACTTTGCGGACCTTTTCGCACCTCACCTATTCCGCAATCATCCTTGCGCAAAACGTCACTGCGCAGATTGTAGATCATGTCCAACACTGGGTTCCTTCCGTCGCAGCATCCAACCCCGCAGATTTGCAAAGAGAAACCAATTCCGCAGCGCCGGCACTACCAATAGCTGCCGTGCGTACCCGCGGTGATCCTGTTGCGCGGATTCCAGCGAAGGCAGCATAGGAAAAGTTATGGTTGGACCGGATCGTGCCAAGGGCTTTGGCTGGATGTCGGGTTCTGGAGAGCGATCCCCCCTCCGGGTGGGACTAGACGTATAAAAAGGAGCATTGCCGTACCTCGTCCCATGCATGTAGCATGGCACTGCGCTCGTCTTTGTTCTGGCTTCCTTTCAATCTTCTCTTCGTCAGACTTATTAATATACATATTAGTTTGCTCCTATGTCAACAGCTCTACCGTGGCTACTGAAGCTCTGATGGCTTAGCGGTCCAGATCTAAATACTAATTATGGCCTATTTCAACATATTTAGCGGGCCAGGGGTAATCCTGTGCAACGCGATCGGCGAGAGCAGGTAACCTGTCGCATTGTTTAAGAGCGTCGAATAGCCCCGGATTAACGCGCTACGGCCATGTGTGACTGGTAGCTGCTACTACTGTCAGATCTCTTAATTTGGTAACGGCGAGGATTTTGGAACAGGCCGCAACTGCTCTCATCGTCCCACCCAAGGTAACAATGCGACTGAACCCTACCTGAATATCTTGAAACTCTGGGGTAATTCAGGGCAGTACTAGAAATCGATCGCACCAACAGGCAGTTTGGGGGTATCGTAAACGGGATCGTTGAGCTGGACCTAGAGCTCTGATTCCTAAGCACCTTTCCTCCTGCTTACGCTTGGGCTTTGACTGGAATGCTACAAGGCTCAAGTGGATTAGGCCTTGTTAAATTTCAAGACGATGATAATAAAATAAGAGGATTTTGGTGGGTCTTGCCAACGTGAGACTGCAGTTGAGGTGAACGTGGGCGAAACGTGACGGAGAAGCGGCGATTTAGGTAAAATTGACCAAGTAATCAACGGGGATGGAGTCCCCCCTGTTGTTAAATAATCATCTGACAGAATATTGGCGATCGACGGCGGAGCGAATCGAACGCTCAAGGTGGAGCGGGCTTGAAAGGGAAATATGGACATTTTCATACCCTTGCCGTTGGTCCGCCTCAACCATAAGCATGCAATCTGCTGCTCTAATTGTTAAGTAAGACGGAATAAAATGAGATTTTACGGAATTGATACCTAGAAATAGATCCGTGTGCGTTTCTGCGCCCCTGTTTTTCGGTCCGAAGGCCGGCGGGGGACCCCCCACCGCCAAACCCACCACCACGAATGCCTAATCTCTAAGCATTGCGAGCCCCAAATATGTGATTAGATCCAGAGCATCTGGCCATAATTTGGGAGATAAGTTGAGTGGGGAGTTGGGAGCGGACCACGGTACCACTATATATATTTTACGGGTAGGATTTCCAACAAGCCGTCATAGCTCAGTTGGGAGAGCGACAGACTGAAGCTTATGTAAGAGATTACGTAATAAAGCCCTTCTGCAGGTCACCCGTTCGATCCGGGTTGACGGCAATCGTTTTTAGTATTTTTTTTTCGAGTCCGAATCGAATGAGGGGATCAGGAGGGGCGGGCGAAGAAACCCGGGCGATATTCTGTTTCCACCAGGTTGTTTCGGCTGCAAATGGGATTGGAACCGCTTTATAATTTTACCAAGACAAGGAAGCAATTGTATGAATGGTTCTTGATGAGGTGAAATGTCGTCGTTCGGGCGCGGGGCGCTGCGAGAGGGCGAATGGCGGGCAAGCGGCAGCGGAAAGCGATGTAAGCCTTTACAACTCGTGTAAAAAGCTGCAATTGGCACACGATCGACAAGCCAATGTCACCCGTTCGATCCGGGTTGATGGCAATCGTTTTACTTTTTGCAATGCTTTTTGAGAGCCCGAATCGAATGAGAGGATCGGGAGAAGGAAAGAAATACGGCCGATATTCTATCTTTTACTAGTTGTTTCCGCCACAGAAGGGATTTCAACTGCCATATAATTTCACCAAGACAATTAATGAATGGTATGAATGGTTCTTGTTGAGGTGAAATGTCGTCGTCGGGCACGGGGCGCTGCGAGAGGGCGAATGGCGGGCGAGCGGGCAGCGGATCGCAATATAAGCCTTTGCAACTAGTGTAACAACTTGAATTTGCACAAGGCCGCTCTATGGATGCTCGCCATAGCCTATATATCATGCACTGCAAGTCGGTTGCGTCTAAAGCCCCTTGCTGGATAGGCACGACGGAAGACGCCGCACCGTGAGAAGACCGTCGCAGGACGCGCGTCGTGATCGAGTCTCAAGTCCAAATCGCAATCCCAAACCTCATTTCCTCCCCGTGAATCTTCCTTTTTTTTTTACCATGGCGTCCAAGAAGGATGAAGCGGCCAAGATGCAAGTCGATGACTCGGCGAAAGCTGCTTCCACGACCACACCCGCACCGAAACCTGCACCGACCCCAGCGGAGGAGGTACGCGCCAACTTGCAGCTCATCGAGCGCGCCGTTTCGACGCTGGAACCGCGCTACACGGCCAGAGTTTTGAGGAGCCTTACCACGCTGAGGAAGAAGCTGGATGCAAAGACGTTGGCGGAGGTTGTTGGTGGTCTGAAAGGTAGCGACGCCCTCGTTGAAAGCGGTTTCGAGGCGTACGCGGCTGACTGGAGCGTATTTAGATGGCCCCGTGAAACAAGGATTGCTGCCTTATCTCCCAGAAGCTCCGTCGGCTTCCAGCGGGTCGATGGAGGTCGACTCGGGTCCAGGAGGGGCGACGACCGCCAAGCCTGCCCCCGCGTTGACCGAACCTTGCCCCGAGGTCGACGTCTACCTCCGCTTGCT